TGCATATACACCTGAGAAAGACGAGGGAGATAAAAACAACAAAGATAAGAACAATAGTTCGAATATAAATAGTGTAAATATTTTCCTTACAGCTGTGAATATTTCCGAGATGAGCTATTGTAACTGTTTACACTATTGACATCATTGCTTATCATTATTGTCATATTCACGACGTTTCGGCCATTGTACGCTCTGGCCTTCTTCAGAATTTGTTTATATTTCTGAGTTGAGGAATTGTAGCTATTTACACTATTTACATCATTCCTCAATATTATTGTCCTATTCACGACGTTTCGGCCGCTCTCCGTTCCGACCTTCTTCAGAATTTGTTTATATTTCTGAGATGAGATATTGTAACTATTTACACTGTTTACATCATTCCACATCATTATTATCATATTGACGACGTTTCGGCCGTTGTATGTTCCGGCCTTCTTCATGATCTATCTATATTTCTGAGATAAGGTATTGTAACTATTTACACTGTTTACACATTCCACACATTTATTTCCATATTCACGATGTTTCGGCCGTTGTACGCTCCGGCCTTCTTCAGAATTTGTCTATATTTCTGAGATGAGGTATTGTAACTATTTACACGATTTACATTATTCGGAGTGTTGTCCTCATCTTTATTGACATATTCACGATGCTTTCTCCAGTGGATAAAAGAGTTGGCTGATTGATCCAAATGTGAATTAACCCAAAAACTTGTGAGTTCAATACCTAACAAGAGCAGAGGGAACAAAACATTAACGACGTTTCGGCCGTTGTAGGTTCCGGCCTTCTTCAGTTGATAATTTTTGAATTTCGAACTGAATCCTTTATTTAACTTATCAAGGTGAATTAACTGAAAGCCATTGTACGTGGGATTAGAACAATCTATAAATAAAGGGTTCGGTTCGAAATATCTAACAAATATCACCTGAAGAAGGCTGGAGCGTATAACGGTCGAAACGTCGTGAATGTGACAATAAAGATGAAGATAACAATTTCTCTTTTCTCACATAATCTGCCAATGGTATTCATCTATAGAGTCGCATCTCAAACTCTTCACCTTTCTGCGTCACATATCTTGTCATCTCATAAGTTCTGTCCGAATTTTAAATTTTTGTTAAAATGAACGAAATTTAAAGAATATTTTATAATGTCTAATGGAGCTGAACATTATTTTTACGATTAGATGCATTTAAAATGATCAGATTTTATTTCAGAGAACAATAAAATTAAATTTTGTTTGATTAAAACCCTGCTAACATGGAAGTGCCCAAGAATCATTTGAGGCACATAATGCTTTATGAGTTCAAGAAAGGAAACTCAACAGCCGAAGCGGCCAGAAACATTCACTCAGTTTATAGAGAGGAATGTGTGAATGAAAGAACTTGCAGAATTCAGAGGTGGTAATTTCAAACTTGAAGATGCAGATCGAACCGGACGTCCAGTTGAGTTTGATGAAAAGCTTCTTGAAACAGCCCTTGAAGAAAATCCTGCTTTATCAGTTGAGGAATTGGCAGTGGTTCTCAGTTCAAACCATACAACTGTTCATCATCTTCAAGAACTTGGAAAAGTTCCTAAACTTGGAAAATGGGTGCCTCGTGAATTGTCTGAAAACAATCTCAAATCCAGAGTTGACATCTGCTCTTCTCTCCATTCTCGCCAACTTGTTTCACATTTTTGGATAGGCTTGTGACTGGCGACGGAAAATGAATCTTTTATCGAAATGTTAAGCATCATAGACAGTGGCTAGGTAAAGGGGAAGAACTCCAGCCACAGCCGAGAAGGGAACTTCATGAGCAAAAAGTTCTTCTTTCAATCTGGTGGGATTGCCAAGGAATAATCCACTTTGAATTCTTACCACCTATTGCAACAATTAATGCTCAAATATACTGTCAGCAATTAGAGCGTTTGAACCAAGCTTTGAGGAAAAAAAAGACCTGCTCTAGTGAATCGAAAAGAGGTGATGTTTCATCAGGACAATACGCGACCCCACACAGCAAGAATCACGTCACAAAAGATCGAAGAACTTGGTTGGGAGAAAATTCCTCATCCACCTTATTCTCCCGATCGTGCTCCTCACACTACCATTTGTTTCGTAGCTTACAGGATCATTTGGAAGAAACAGCTTTTGTAACACAGAAAGAGGTTAAAACTGACATTTGTGAGTTCTTCAAATCAAAGCCAAAAGAATTTTACAGTAATGGAATTAGTAAGCTTGTTAATAGATGGAAGAAAGTCATAGATAATCAGGGAAAATACATTGTTGATTGAATCTGTAATTAAATGTAACATTTGGTCACTTGTTTTCTTTATTCAAAATTCAGACAGAACTTATGGGATGACCTGATATTATGCAGCAATTTAGAAAAGGTTTACCTTTTCTAACAGGATTTTGGCTTACAGCCACGTCAGGTTGAAACACCGGTTCCCGTATGATCACTGAAGTTAAGCAACGTCGAGCCTGATCAATACCAAGATGGGTGATCGCTTGTGAATATCATCTGCTTGGATGTACAGGTGGTGTAATGGGTAATGCTTCGGAATTGTTAATCGGAGAGCCGAGTTCCAATTCCCGTGGGGTTTGTTATAATTACTTACGCGCAAATACCTTTGAGAAAGGTATGAATCCACCTCTTCTCTCCCCAGCTAAGACTTAAACCATTATTATCCATTCCCCAAATTCTTACAATCTAACTATATTTTTTGGTTTGAAATAACCCGCAAAGATTTGATAGGTCGTAATAAACGAATCAATCAATGAAATTCTGATTAGCTACACAGCCATGTCTTTTATATTTATTGACATTCTCTGGAATATAAATATGTTAAAATTAATGTGGCCACAAAGTAAGGGATCAGCTTATATATTGATTGTAATATAAAACGTGATACCCCACTTTATATGCACATTATAATTTCTTGTTTGTTGATAACCCGTAGAAAAAGAATCAATCAATCAATGAAATACTGATTAGCTACACAGGCATGTCTTAGATTTATTTACATTCTCTGGAATAGAAATGTATAGAAACTACTCTGGCCACAAAGTGAGGGATCAGTTTATATATTGATTGTAATGTAGAATTGATCACCCATTTTATATCCACATTATAATTTCTTGTTTGTTGATAAGCCATAGAAAACAAATCAATAAACAAATGAAATATTGACTAGCTACATAGGCATGACTTTTAGATTTATTTACATTCTCTGGAATATAAATTTATAGATACTACTCTGGATACAATGTGAGGGATCAGTTTATATATTGATTGTAATGTAGAATTGATCCCCCACTTTATATCTACATTATAATTCCTTATTTGTTTATAAAATTTTTATTAGGTTTGAATGCACCTATTCTCCCCCAGTTATGGATTAATTAGTAAGAATTGTATCACTGAACCATTATTATTTGAAAAGAAATCTTTCAATGTAAAAATAATATTCTCTAGCTTTAAATAACCTGCAAATGGTTGATAAACCGTAGAAAAAGAATCAATCAAGCAATCAGTCTAACAGGATTTACCTCCCCGTTATAATAAAAAATTACTCTCCTTTATTTAAAATTACCTCACCGTTAATAATTACTCTCCTTTATTTAAAATTACTCTCCTTTATTTAAAATTACTCTCCTTTATTTAAAATTACCTCACCGTTAATAATTACTCTCCTTTATTTAAAATTACTCTCCTTTTTTTAAAATTACCTCACCGTTAATAATTACTCTCCTTTATTTAAAATTGTCCTTGCCCATCATTGAACGTTATGTCCTGTTTCTTATACTAAACCAGAATATGTGACTATTCAGCATTACCAGTTTTAGGAGTTTTCTTTCGAACTACATCTGTTACCGCAAGTCTCCTCTGGGGAAAATTTCAAGCCTATATATATATATATATATATATATATATAAATGCAGGATGTGTGTGTGTGACGAATGCACGGCCGCAATTTTCGACGGATTTGCACCAAAATTTACATGCACATGCTCCAAGTTAGCGGGAAGGCTAAGACCGACTTTGCATTTGCCAACTCCCATCGATAGTGGAAATAATCGATTTTTTTTCATGCTTCTACGGCAGTTTTCATGTAGTTTGCGGCCATTTTCTACTGGCCAGAAACGTTGTAATAAATACAAAGATAAGGACAATAGTTCGAATAATGTAAATAATGTACATAATACCTCATCTCAGAAATATAGACAGATACTAAAGGGCCGAAACGTTGTAATAAATATGGCAAATAAAGATGAGGATAATAGTCCGAATAATGTAAATAGTGTACATAATACCTCATCTCAGAAATATAGACAGATACTGAAGGGCCGAAACGTTGTAATAAATATGGCGACAAAGATGAGGACAATAGTCCGATAATGTAAATAATGTACATAATACCTCATCTCAGAAATATAGACAGATACACAAGGGCCGAAACGTTGTGATAAATATGGCGACAAAGATGAGGACAATAGTCCGAATAATGTAAATAGTGTACATAATACATCTCAGAAATATAGACAGATACTGAAGGGCCGAAAACGTTGTAATAAATTGGCAAAAAGATGAGGATAATAGTCCGAATAATGTAAATAGTGTACATAATACCTCATCTCAGAAATATAGACAGATACTGAAGGGCCGAAACGTTGTAATAAATATGGCGACAAAGATGAGGACAATAGTCCGAATAATGTAAATAATGTACATAATACCTCATCTCAGAAATATAGACAGATACACAAGGGCCGAAACGTTGTGATAAATATGGCGACAAAGATGAGGACAATAGTCCGAATAATGTAAATAATGTACATAATACCTCATCTCAGAAATATAGACAGATACTGAAGGGCCGAAACGTTGTAATAAATATGGCAACAAAGATGAGGATAATAGTCCGAATAATGTAAATAGTGTTTATAATACATCATCTCAGAAATATAGACAGATACTAGAAAAATCTAATTCAGATTTTTGTCTTAATTTCTGTGCAGATGAGACCCATACAAAGGTGAGAGGTGTGCAAGAAATCTAAAAATAGACAAAAATGAGGCCCGAGCAGTTATAAAGTCTCTGTAAAAAGAAAAAGGATGTCACCGAAGGAAATCTATGAGGACATGGTACGGACATTCAGTGAGGACATCCTCTTCCTATGCAACTGTGAAAGAATGGGCAGAGGAATTGAAGTCGTCCAAAAACTTCAATGAACAAGTTGATGCCATTCACCGTATTGCTTTGCATGACAGAGGTCTTACTCTCCAGCAGATAAGTAAGTCCTTAGACATTAGTTCTGGTTCGGTTCATACTGTTTTAACTAGGAATTTGGGAATGAGCAAGTTGTCTGCAAGATGGGTCCCAAGAATGCTGACACAAAACTAGAAGTCGAAAAAAGTTGCCATTTCCAAGATACTTCTGATTCATTTCTAGGCTGACCCTGAGAATTTCCATTGCAGATTAGTAACTCTTGATGAAACCTACGTTCACCATTTCGAACATGAATGAAAGCAAACAGTGGAAAGATGGGCTGCGGAATTCAAGCGTGGTAGCTACAGCACAGAAGTTGACCCTCGGTTAGGTTGTCCAAAAACCTCAACCACTGATGAACAAGTAGATACCATTCACCGTATGGTTTTAGATAACAGACGTCTTACTGTACAACAGATAACTAAGTCCATAGGCTTTAGTTCTGGTTCGGTCCATACTGTTTTAACTAGGAATTTGGGGATGAGCAAGCTGTCTACAAGATGGATCCCAAGAATGCTGATACCAGAGAAGCTGAAAAAGGGTTGACATTTCCAGGAAACTTCCAGGTTGACCCTGAGAATTTCCACTGCAGACTAGTAACTGTTGATGAAACTTGGGCTCATCACTTCGAACCCGAATCAAAATTTCAAAAGCAAACAGTGGAAGCACTCTGGTTCTCCACCCCGTGAAGTTCAAACCGGCAAGGTGATGGCTTCTGTTTTGGGGGATTCTGAAAGTGTAATCATGATAGAATATCCGGGAAAGGTGGAAAAAAAAAACTATTAATGGACAGTAGAATGCAGCAGAATTAAAACAACTGAAGGAAGCAATCAAGTCGAAACGCAGAGGGAAGATCTGCTCCTGTTTTAAGATAACGCGCCCGTTCACTCTTCTCAAGTTGCAGTAAGTGAATCAGCCAACTGTGGCTTTGAATTGTTACTCCATCCACCTTACTCTCCGGACTTAGCTCCATCTGACTTCTTCCTTTTTCCTAAACTCAAATCCCACCTGCGGGATCGACTTTTTAGAAACAATCATGAGATCATATGTGCTGTGGAGGGGTTTTTGGAGGACCAGGATGCTTCTTCTTCTGAGATGGTATTAGAACGCTTAAGCATCGTTGGATTAGGTGCATTGGTATCAAAGCGGTTTATATTGAAATATGGGAAAAAACTATCTTGTTTCTCAAATTCTGGGTGAGGTTTCTGAACGAGCCTAGGAATTCTTCTTGTTTCTATTTTTCCTTAAGACTTCTCCGTTGCACACATGTTTCGTCTATGGTATTCTCAGTATCCTTCTGTTGAGTAACATCTCTGAGGCCTCAAATTTTCCTCTTTGTGAGGACAATTTCAGTTTCATCAAATAAGGTAAAACTATAATTAACTTTGCCATATATTAAATGCTATTGATAGCCTGAGCTTAATGTGATTATATTTGATTCAGAATCCCTTTGAATTAATCTGTTTCTTTTTATCTCAGTATACCTCGTGAGTATCAAATTCTCCAAGCCGTCTTTCTGTGCCTCAGATATTTCAGTTCTTTTTCTCATGACTAGCTTAGACCAGCTCTGACCAATTTGGACAAGGTAAGACCAGCTTAGACCAGCGGTCCGAGTGAAAACACGGGACCCCACGTTAAAAAATGACCTTGTGTCACAACCTGACTCATTAGGGCGTAAAGTATATATCTACATAATATAGATATATTAATATAAATATATTAATCAAAACAACAAAAATAATAGATTTCTCACAGCTATTTTATCACGCATGCGCTAACATATCATATTTTATATAGAGTACATTCATCTTTGTTTACAAGTGAAAGGCTCTTGACCGCCGCTATGCGGTCAGTTTGAGAACTAATACGACTTATTCCGCTAAGCCAGCAAATCTTGAAATATATCGCTGACAGTTTTTTTTTTCTTGCAGATTTTGTTTTTTATTTTGCCAGCATATTTTGGCCGTTGCATCCGAAGTTCGTTGATGGGGGTTCCGTAGAGTAGAGGTTTGTCTGTATAATGTATCTAAATACAAATTAAATGCAAATCTCCACCTTATAAATAGCAGTTAATACAGCCGGAGGCTAAACTGATCCGAAACTTGAAGACGAAACTACTAGATAAATATTTCTCAAGTAGTTTCATCTTTAAGCTCAGGATTAGTTTCGCCTCCGGCTGTCCAGTCTGCTATTTATAATGTTGTTATTTGCATATGAATAGAACAGTCATAATTGATAGTGCCATTTTAAATAA